TGCTATCTAATATAACACCCAGATTTTTGACTGTAGAGGAAGTAACAGTACATCCGTCTAGTTGCAAATTGTAATCCAAGAGATTCTGTGTACTGTTTTTTAGTCCAATAAGTAATATTTCTGTCTTATCCGAATTAATAATAATAATAATAATAATTAATAAGATGATGGACCCCATTGATTTTCATTGTATGGACTCTTGACAAAAAACACTTAACACATTTTTGCCTCCTTTAAATATCTTTTGTGTTTGCAGAAGTCATACATGAATTGAAGGTGAAATTTTAAATTTTTGTGTAAATCATCCCTGTGAATATTACTGAGCAGTACATGAATGCTATGTTAACTGCAAGAAATTATGGGAAAAAATGTAGTCTTAATGCAGATGGTTTAAGTAAACTTGGGTTTTGCAAATTTATATGAATTGCACGCTATGCAGTTTTAATTAAAACATTATTTTTTGGAGTGTAAGCAGAAGATGCGCGTATCAAGCAAGAATAAAAGCATACATAATGATTGCCGGAAGGACTGGGTTGCGTGTTGCGGCAAAATATGAGAACTATTCTATGTTGTTTCCAGATAAAAGCTTTCTGAATATATCATTAAAGAATGCACTGAAAAAATATATGCAGTTGCTGTCTTTGTCTGAGCTGTGAGCATCGAGTCCGACTCCCCAGGACAGGATTGTAACTTAATTTGAGCAGTGGAGCTTCATGTGCAGGGGACAATGGAAACGTGTGTACGTGTCTCTTGCGGGAGTTGTGTAAGCAACACACTGACATATGCCTCCTGCCCCTCCACCTCTGCTGTTTACTCCGTTTAATCCCTTTTATAAACACGCACACATTTAAACAATGGCGAACTGCTTACCTCTCAGTGGAGCTGTAATAGGATATGCTGCAATGGCCAGTGTGATGTGCGTGATAGAGAGAGAAATAACGTGTTTGTCTGTTATAGACCTTTATAGTTCAATACTGCAGTAGATTGTGGGAGGGATATGAATGAATGAGCAAAATCGGGCCATTAAGGTCAGATAACTACAGTGCCGCATTCTGTTTCCATGGAGATGATTGCACCGCTGGGCTTTCGATCACCAATAACAGGCTTTGTTCAGAATGGAATACTAGCTTGCTGCTTACTGAGCAGTATTTAGTCATTTATTTAGTCATTTATTAGACGCTTTTATCCAAAGCGACTTACAAATGAGGACAACAGAAGCAATCAATTGTAGTATTAAAACAACAAAAAACAGATCCAAAACTAAAAGCTAAAACTTTATAAATACTACCTATACACATTTTAAAAATAAAGAGATTAAATAAAAATGACAAATGCATACAACTAAATTTCAAAACGTAACATTTAAATGAAAAACAAAAAATAAAGCTAAAAACAATTCAAAATATTAAAGAACAAAAGGTATAAGAGTATAATAATGATTCTAACATAACACTAAGCCAAACACCAAAAAAACAACTACATATGTGTATGTACAACCACACACACATACATATATTAATACTGTATATGTACATACACATTTATAAATTCAATATATATGATTTCATTTTCATTTAGTTTGTTGAAGTATTAAAATAACTCAAATTAAATAAAACTAAAAACTTAATAAAAGACCTATACAGACATAATAACTTCAGACATAATGAATTATAATTATAATAAATTATAATTTATTATAATAAATTATAATTTATTATAATGTCTCAATATACACTGAATACTGCTTACTGTTTCTATAAATAGCATGTGAAGCATTATGCAGCATTAACAACCTCATTGTCACATGACCTTATTGCTTACACATTTAACTCAGCCAGAGGTCTCTCGGAAATAAATTTGGGTTTTGTTTTGTTTTGATTTGATTTTTGTTTTGTTTTTAAAGATGTTAAAAATTGCATTTAGTTAATTATTATTGCAGTTCATTCAGGTTCACTACCGTTCAAAAGTGTGAGGTCGGTAAGATTTAAAAAAAAAATGTTTTTAAATGGTCTCTTATGCTCATCAAGGCTGCAAAAAAACAAAAAAAACAAAAACGTTTATTACTGTGAAAACAAAGCTGAATTTTCAAGAGTCATTACTCCAGTCTTTAGAGTCACATGGTCCTTCAGAAATCATTCTAATATGCTTTTTTTATTATTTTTACTAACATTGATGAAAAAAGTTGTTGCTTAATATTTTTGTAGAAATACTCAAAATAGTTTTAAATAGAAATCTTTTGATCAGTTCAGTGCATCCTTGTTGAACAAAAGTAAGAATTTCTTAACCAAAAAAACAGTTCTAATATGAAAAGCTGTAAAGATGTGTATCTGCTGTATCATTATATTTGTGTGTAAATGCAAGCTAGCATTTGTTTAAAGTGCTCTGTCAGCACGGCAGCAGTGATCCGAGTGTTGATGTTGCATGATGCGCTGCTTTTTTGCACTAACGTTCGACCAGTGCATTTTAACGTGTTTAGAAACTTGTATCTTTGTGTGTGTGAGTGAGAGGAGCATGTCTGCACGTATCCCTGCACGTATTGAGGTGCTGAGAGAAAGGAAATTGGATTTTACTGGTGCCGGCACGGTTTCATAATGCGCTCCTCTTAGTGTGATAGATTTGATTTTCGCTGTTTGTTAAAATGCAACGGTGAGGTGAACGATGCTGTGACGAAACCATGAAATTTTTCCCCCGGACTCCCTTGCCAGAAGCCGAAAATCTGCATTAACCTTTTCATTGTCAGATTTATATGGTGCTGATTTCTGAGATTGCTGCTGCAGTGAGATGTTCTGATCAAGAGTGTTCCACACAGGCTTGGTGCAGTGCTTGTATATAGTATTTAAATTGGTTCTTTAAAAATGTCATGTTCAGCATACGACCATAGATATGTCCACTACTGAGCCGTTGAATGGCCTGTATATCACAGAGCTGCTAATCAATATCCGTACTGAAAGCGCTGTAGTCTGCAAGGTGTAAATTCAGTGTACTTCTCTACTGGAGAAAGTGTCAATGGGCGGTCACATGATGTTTTTATCTGCTCTAAAGCGATGCTTCATGAATAGTAAGAGGAGATGATTTTTTATGTATAATTCAAGAGTGTTTGATAATGTGGTAGTACTGTGGAAGTGGGATTCGGGGTGCTTTGGGTCAAAGGTAAGGAGCATGGCATGTGAGGAAATTAATATGAATGTTTTGCAATGATGAGCTTTCCCTAATGAAGGGGCTCTTTTGCATAATGTTAATATTGCGGAGACCTTTTTAATCACCTCTTGTGGTTCCTTTGCGTTAAGTTTGATTTAATAGCAAAACATTATTCTCTTAATTATGAAAAGAACTGCCCTTGCCCTTTTTAAAAAAAAATTGAATATATTTATTTATTTAAAAAGAAACTTTCTAGTTTATGATGCTGAAATTGCAAATCTATTTTAAATAAATAATAAATAATCATTATTTGCTTAGTTGAGTTGTACTTGTACATTACATTTTATTTTTGCTTTTTTTTTGCATTTTGCATAATGTTAATATTTAAAATAATCTCTTGTTCTTCCTTTGCATTATATTTGATTAATAGCAAAACATTGTTTTCTTAATTATGAAAATAAATAACTGCCCTTGCCATTTTTTTAGAACTGGATATTATTATTGTCGTCGTCGTTGTTGTTGCTGTTAATTTTTTAATAAATGTTATGTAACATTTCTAGTTTGATTCTTAAATTGCAATTCCATTATAAATAAATAATAAATGTTCGTAAATAATAAATAATCATTTGCTATACTTGTTAATTAAAATGTTATGGACATGCATGACACTCGTTAACTTCTTAATTGTGGCTTTTGTTAGCATTAACATATTAATGTAATTTGGTTTAATATATGATACATTTTTTCCCCTGAAAGTTGGATTGAAATCAAACAATGACAGACCCCCTACAGTGCCACTGCAGACCCCCTAGAGCTCAAATGTGTAAATGGCACTTTGTGAACAAACAAACAGACTGATGCTTAGCGATTCAAGACTGACTATTTTTCAGATAAGTTTCATTACAGATGGAGAATTGTTGTTTTTCAGTAAAGGGAGAAAAATGTCCCTTTTGTTTATAAATGAGAGCACCTGTTTGTGTATTTATCGCTGTCTTCCTTCATATCTCTCTCTCTGTATGCAGTCACAGCTCTCAGTCCACAGAGGAAACTGGATTTAATGACCCCAGCTTACTGGAAAACCTCCAAAGTAATCATGTAAGTACTGTAATGGCATCACAGCTGCTCAGTCATGCCCAGCCAGCCAGAAATTTACACACAGGCCCTGATATCCACACGCTCACACCTCCTGTCTTCCCTCACGGCTCTTTTCTGGCTCATATTAGCTCTGTTCTGCCCACCCGGCTGTTTATGAATATTCTACAGTCACAAAACGTATTCTCTAATGACATGAGACTTTTGCCTTATAAAAATAAGACCTCATATGCAGGTGCTCAAGAGTAAGATATTTATTTGACCATTGTTGGTTTGTATGCGTGCGTTTTATTGATTCTTTCAGCCTGGTGACTCAAGGATTTGTGTCTGTCAGTCAGCACAATGTTTTTGTTTCTCTGTCACTCTGAATCAGACGTGAACTCGGGTTGCCTTCGTGACGGCATTGTACAGCTCCTCATGGCCACCTGAGCTTCTCTTGCCTTTCCAACTAAACAGGCTTTGAATCCACACTTCACAAGGCGTTTTTTCTCTCACATGAGTTCATCAGTGAAAAATCTAATCATATTCAATCATTGCTCACTCAATTAATTATGAGGCTTTTCTGAGCCGATTCACAGTGCAAAAAACATTAAGTGTGTGAATATGTATTTGAGCTTATGTCTCGATTTATTCTTTGAAGTAGTGCTGTCAAACGATTAATCGTGATTAATCACATCCAAAATAAAAGTTTTTGTTTACATAATATATGTGCGTGTACTGTTTATATTTGTTATGTATATAAATACACACACATGCATGTGTATATATTTAAGAAAAATTTGATGTTTATAAATTAAATATATTTATATATAATATAAATTATATGGATATAAATAAATACATGTAAATATTTTCAAAATATATACTGTATGTGTGTGTATTTATATATACATAATAAATATACACAGTAGTACACACATTATGTAAACAAAAACTTTTTTTGGATGCAATTAATCGCGATTAATCGTTTGACAGCACTACTTTGAAGGAACTACATGCAAAAGCAAAACGGTTCTTAGATGGTTTTTAACATGCATTTGGTAAGGTGTTTTAGTTGCCGTTTTTGTGATACAATATTCTTGTTACTAGATCTAGCTTGCTAGGTTGAAAATTTCTAGTTTGATTGGTAAGAAAACTAACCACAGACATCTCCTCAACCAATTGCATGATTTGAGGTGTCAATCATGTCTTTTTATACTTTGTCTTACGTTTGTTTTTTCCACACAGCCCACTGCTTCGGTCATCCAGGAATTCATGACCATGATAGCTATCTGTCACACGGCCGTTCCTGAGTGCACTGACAACAAGATCACCTACCAGGCTGCATCCCCAGGTCAGTCAAACTCCTCCAAACACACGGAAACAACAAATGTTCACATTAGGTTCACATTGAGAGCCATCAATACACAACCCTTCAAAAGTTCGGGGTCAGTAGATTTTTTTTTTTTTTACTTTTACTAAAGAAATTACTACTTTATTCAGCCAGGATGTATTATATGAATCAAAAATGCTAGTAAAGAAATATGTAATTTTACAAAAGATTTCTTTTTTCTTTTTCTCTTCATCAAAATGATCATCACAGGAATAAATTACATTTTAAATTATATTAAAATACAAAACAGTTCTTTTAAATAGAGTATTTACAACATTATTGTTTTAGTGCTTTTGTACCAAATAATGCAGTCTTTATAAGCATAAGAGACTTCTTTTAACAACATTAAAAAAATCTTACTGACCCTTAACTTTTGAACAGTAGTGTATGTATTCAATAGATAAAGCTATAAATACATCAGTTAAATCTATAGATGTAGTTCTACAAACTAGGGCTGTCAAAATGGCTGAAAAACTAAATTTGAATTTTTTACTTAAATATTATCAATATTCGAATTTAAAAGGCATAATTTCAGTTAAGGGGAAAAAAAGCTTTTGGCTTCTCTCCTGAGGCCACAAGAGGGCGCATCGAGTAAATTATTATGCACGTTTCTTCAAAGCATAATAAAATAACATGACTATCTTTGAAAAACGTGCATAATGTTTAAAAAAATTTTATAAACCTTATATAATTAATAAAGTTGCTTAAACAATTAGAAAGAAAACAGCATCATGCATGTATGTATAGTTTAATACAAAGGACCGAAAACCAATCACAAAGAATACTTTTTTCATTTAAAAACATGAGTTGCATTGGGATGGGGAAAACCGCCATAAAGTCTTGAGTAGGGCTGGGTATCGAGTTCGATACTTTTTAGGCACCGACCGAATTGCCTCGATACCATCGAGTATCGAAAAACGTCTCGTCGTTCGGTACCAAATTTCGATACCTAAGGGGTTAATCTCATCACCGTCAGTGAGCCAATAAAGGCCCGGGTATACTTCACTTTCCACGTTCCGTTCCGTCTCGCGCTCAGCCGTGTCCACACAACTTTCAAAGTATACTCAACCGCGGATGAGTGCGGACAGACAAGCTCAACACAGGCGCAGTTTTTTTACTTGCGCTCTGTCTCAACTTTCACCTCGCGCATGCGCTGTTGTACGCGGACCGTCCGCGCGGTCTCAAAAAATTGCCTGCACGCGGACGGGGTGAACGGCTGTCCGCGAGCCCTCCTGATGACGAAAATGACGTAATGTGGA